TTTTCGCTGGTTTTAGTGCTAATAAACATGGAATCAAATGATGCATCCTTTATTCAAAATTCTTATTTTTATGATCAGTTGTAAGATCAGATAAACAGAAGCAATCAATAATGAACAATGAATAATAAATAATAATAAATAATGAATAAAATCTATGAAAAAATTTTAGGCAAATCCAAACGAAAGGTCCATTGCAGTACTGAGATATTTCTCTCCGTTTCTTGATCATAAAATCACACCGATAACAAGCAAGCTTTTGTCCATCCAGCATTTCAGATGTATCATAACCAATTATGGTAGAATTGAGTGCTTTCCTAATGAATTTACAACAAAAATTCACATATTTTTCAACTTTTTCCTAGCGTGTTCCCTATAACAGGGGTCCACTCTTGAATCAACAATTTTCGGAAATTGCTTATGTCTGATGAGACTATTCTAATGAAAAACCATGGATCCACAAACATTAAAACAATGTTAACTAATGTTTAAAATTTAAAATTCAAACATTCCACTGCTGCAAACAACGATGATATTCAAAACCTTTATATCGACAGACTTGAGTCGAACTTCAAAAGGTCGAACAAAGTTGAAAATTTCTTACAATATCGCAGATTGGCTAAAATCATGGTTGTGAAAAGCCAAAGGCAGTTTCAGTTTTTAGTCACAAGAACGATGAAAAATATACTTTTATGATTCAATGGCCAGGCATGTTGAAAATCGAATCTAACAGGCTACAGATATAAGAGCAACATATGCTATAAACACAAACGAATGTGCAATTTAGTATCTGTTATGATGATGAGAATAAGGATGTAAGTGAAATGACGACTTTACAATAGAATTATATGAATTTCTTCATGTCCATAATCACTGAGTTAAAAATCTAGTCGCATACATTACCCAGTCGATACCTGCTTTTGAAAACAGGTCTACATAGCGATCAGTCATGCGATATTAAAACAGAGGAGGAAAAGCAAAACACAATAACAGAACCAGAAGACCTCAAGTTATAGCCAGCTTACTTGCATTGTTTTGTTGTACTATTATAAATACTTCAAAATGTGACATAGCACTTCTGATTCTGGGACTGTTCCATAAATGGCATTATAACGCATTATTATAATATTATTAATTTTCACTGTATGCAACACAGTCATTTTTGCAAATCATTCTCTTTTAAAGCAATACATACTGGATTTGCTTTCGACCATGCACTTCCATACACCGAGCCGGTTAAATGGTTCGTACTGAAGAAATCTAAACAAAACGTACTGAAATTAATTTAAAAAACGACAAAAAATAAATTATACCTAATTAGGGAAAAAAGATCCTTAAGGTCATTGTGAATTGGGGTACCTGTAAGCGCCCAGCGACTACGGGCGAGAATTCGGCAACAGCATTTCGACGCATTGGTTTTGTAGTTTCTGATGTTGTGTGCTTCATCCAAAATCAAACGTCGCCATCTAATCGACGTCAAAACGGAGTCTCGCTTACGGCCATAGTCATGTACCGTTTCATAATCGTCCAAGTCATCGTCCTGTCACAAAAAATAAAACGTTCAAGCTACGTTATATTTATAATTTTCAAATGTAGCGAAATCTTATAAATCTAATAAGGATCGAAAGAATGTAAAACAGCATATAGAACTTATAGCCTCGAAATTTACAAACGAACGAGACAAATGCAATGCGACATACCAATCCAATTAAATTAAGAAAGGGAGAACAAAATTATTTAAATGTATGCTCAGTAAGTAAACGACTGAATGAATGAAATGCCGTAAAAGACAAATTTCGATAGCGAATTACGTATTCAGGATCGAACACTGCAGAACAAGTAACAAAGTTAAACAGACTTTATCACACATCTTTTAAGAGTAACATCATATAAATAAAATGATATAAAATAAAATCAAAATATTTAAAATACTTGACGGGACCACACCCTAGGACAACTACATCGAGACAGCGTACCATTTTTACACTTCCTATTTAATTCATGTTCTCTCATACGATATTTTTTAGCAGCTCACGACGAAGCATAGCCAACTGTCACACGTTAAGGTATTTCTTATTTTTCCAATGACGCTTTTCGCATATTTTCGTTCAACATAACAGTAACATCAATTTCATTTCCGTTCTTATTATCTAAAGTTGTTAATAAATGTTGTTGCAGATATCGTCATTTGGAATTTCAGGGTCAAGGACACAACAGCCAGACAGATGATGCCTAAAGCTTTGGCTTCTGAAAATGAACTAGGTGGTGCTGGTCGCTGCGACAACGGTCTTGTTCCTCGTCAAAAGCAGGCCTCCATCTAACAGTCAGTTTAGGGTGCGATGCTGGCGTCTGACATGCCTGCGGCCATTATTTGTTATCCCGAGGAGAATGGTTTAGAGTAATTCTTTATTCTCTCTCTCCAGATGTCAAATCACGACAGACACCGAGTCCTTATTTTTTCAGACAACCAGCATTCTCAGGCAAGTCGTCTTCAAGATCTT